ACGGCAACGACGAGAAGAGCTCAAGTCTAAACTCTTGTAATGCCAATTGCAAAGGAGTTGCAGCAACAATTGCCGCACAGCAGCAGCCACATTCTGTGGCAGCTGTTGCAGCTGTGCCACAAACCGATTTGCACGCAGACTCCTTGTTGTTGTTGCAACTGCCAAATATTAACAGCAACAACAACAACAACACGAGGAGCAACAACCACCAGCAGTCAAGAACAACAACAGCTTTGCACCTTCCACTAAATTCGTAAGTGTAAAGCGCGAAACAAAAGAGAAAAGCTCAAGCAGAAGAAAATCAACACGAAACTTTTACAATTTTGTGCAGCAAGCTGAAGGAATTGAAATATTGAGAGTTGCAATAACATTGCTACACACTCTCTCCTTCTCTCTCCCTCTCTCTCTCTGCTATTTTCCCATTTACAAATGCAAATCATTTCCAACAGTTGCTTTTGCTCTTGAGACAATTTTCGAGCAGAATTTTCCTTTTGTTTTATGAACATTTTGTTGATCAATCGAAGGCGACGACAAGAGAGATGACAATGGCAATGGCAATGATAATGGCAATGGCATTGACAATGGCAATAGCAATAGCAATAGCAAAGGCGCATGCTGCATGCAAATGTCAACAGCCCAATTAAAATGCCAATCTACAACAGCAACAACAACAAGAGCAACAGCAATAACAATGGCAATGACAGTGGCAAATCTTTTGGTTTAAAGAGCAAACATAGACCCCAGCGATGGCGAGATACCCAGCCAGACCTTTGCCAGTGTTGAGTTATTTGTAATCTTTTTGGCACTCAGTCAGTTCCGCACTCTTTTGTGCATTTGTGAGTGCGATTAGCTTTATCAGCGATCGACGGTGTGCATATAGCCATACAGTATATAGTATATATGATTTGCAATTGATTGCGCACTTTCGTGTCGTGCTAGCTTGTTGCCATCATCATTGTTGTCTATTCCTTATACATTGTTGTTATATTACTTTTCATTTCAAAATCAAAGCAACAATGTCAATGCTGATCGATGAGGATCACTTGCACCTAATGCCGAAGATCTGATAAACTTTTTCTATGTGCAATAATATATGTAACTCTCATAATTTTGAATCTTTTCTAATCATAAATATGTATTCATGAAAGATTTCATTGTAAGATAGATAGTAAATTTTTCGCAAATTTTACTTAAAGAGAGAAGCAACGGATTTATGTTCTAGACTTCTATAATTTTGAAAAAATTTCACTTGAAGAGAGAAGCAAATGCAATAAGTATTCTTATCTTGTAACAGTTATCCAATTATCAGTACATATTTATTAAGGGCCAAAGAGTATAAACTGTTTTAATAGTCAACTCGAAGAAAGAAGCAAATGAGATAAGTTTTTCTTATCTTGTTATTTAATTATCAATATAAATTTATTAAAGATGTAACAAGAGAGAGAGAGAGAGAGAGTTAGCTGTTTTGAGAGAGTTCCGGATCGTGTATAAATATTTATCAATTACTGATTATGTTTTATGCTAATATAGGTAAAGGTTTTCTTATTTTGTAACAGTTATTTAATTATCAATATATATTTATTAAAGATCTAACTATCAAAGAGAGCGTTCAGTTTAACGTGAAGAGAGAAACGAGAGATAAGTTTTTATCTTGTAACAGTTTACCAATAAACAATATGTGTTGATCAAAGATCCATACTATAAGAGAGAGTGAAAATTACTTGAAATTCTACATTAAGAGAGAAATATTGTAGGTAATTATTCTTGCGCTAATGATAATCGTAAACACACTTAATGAGCTTAATAGGCAATTCGTTTTGTAATTTATATGTTATTTATTCCGAGAAACAATGTGCTCACGAAAATATTTGTTTATATATAAGTATACCCTACCCTATATACTACTTTATTATTTATATGTATTTTCATGAAACTAATTTAGAGAGTTTTTAGTAAATATATGAGAAGAAAATTAGCTATAATTGAAAATTCTTATTTATATCCTCAGAGATTTTTTCAGCTTCAGAAATGAATTTAAAATCAATTAAGTTTTTCTCGATTGCTGTTGCTTTATACTAAAGTTTTTTGAAGTTAATTTTTGCTGCCATTAATGTGATTCTTCATATTTAATTAGCTTTGATTATCGTCAAAGTGCGCAGCGCAGCTAAAATAAGCGCCACGACTGCTGGCACTGCATTTTGTGATTATTTTTAGAATTTAATTTTGTTTTTCCGCTCGTTTTGTGTTTGTTTTTATTAATTGCCGCTCAAAACGAACGACACAAACAAATAACAAATAAATAAGCAACAGCCGCAAAATGAGCTCGTCAGATTAGTGAGAAATCATTTGCGATCTCTTATGTGATTTGGCTATTTATAGAGAGACTGCAGACGGCAGGAGACGGCAGCAGGCAGCAGGAGGCGAACTGCAGATTACCATTTGAATCGATGCCATCGATAATAATTGCTTTTCTGGGTTAACACTTAATTGATTTTTAGCGAACGCCTAACTTGTTTCCCTTTGCCCGAATTGGCAACGTTTGCTGGCTGTTTGAAATAATTACAGTTTGTTGGCCATAGTTTAAGATGCTTTTCATCTCTGGTATTTGTTGACTCTCCCTCTCTCCCTCTCTCTCTCTCTGGGTGCCTGTCTCTCTCTTTTACTGCCTCTGTGTCAGATTTATGCACTTTGTTCGAATTTGGGTTAAACAACAAGCAACAACAACACCAACAACAACGAGCAGCTGGATTCTGCGGCAAGGATGCAACTTTTCGCTTATTTGGCAAATTTTCAAGTGAAGCAAATTGCAAAAGCGACAACAAAATAAATAAACGCACACACACACACATACACGTTGTTGACAATATATCTGACAAACAACAACAAGAAAAATGTGTCACAAAATGTTCTTGACTAAGCAAAAGTCTCAATATGCTCAATGGGCTCAACCCACATTAAAGCTATCTGATATCATTTGACTTAGCTGAAAGCAGTTGGGATTTTATACGATATTATTCATATACGTCCCATTGGAGCTGTGCTATATTTCCACGTACTCCCGATGTCGTTTCGTCTCTTACATGTCCCAAAGTCCTGTCATTTCTCTGTCTCTTTCTTTGCAAGCTCTCGATTTCTGGTCGCATTCTTTTCGTTTATCGAAATATGAGTGAGCCTATGCCAAGTACATATGTTGTCCTCTCACTCTCACGCAGCATTATCCATGTTCAGCACCAGCTATAGATGTCTCTCTCTCCCAAACTCTTTCACTCTCTCTTTCTCTCTCTCTCTCTCTCTCTCTCTGACTATAATACATTCTTAGTATAAGCTATCCGTCTCTTTCTAATATATTGCCATTTTATACTTTGCGAGCATTTAATTTGTTTAATGAAAGTATATAAAGTTTTTTTTTTTTTTATTTAAACCAACATTATGAATGCCATATACCCATTTTCTATTCAAGTTGAAGATTTAGTAGAGGCAGTAAAGAAGAAAAAAGGGACCTAAGAACACTTTTGGTGCTTTAATCAAATTTGTTGTTGGCAATTTAAAAGATTTTGCTACTTGCCAAAAAAAATCGACGCTTTCGCTTGCCTTTTCCAAAAAAAAATTGAATGGCAAGCGAAGCGCTACCAATGCTGCTGTTGCTAATGAGTTTTGCCGCAATTGGGGGCGTAACGCTAATGGGCGTGGTTATCACAGAAACACACACAGCCAGGATAGACAGACAGAGCGGGCGTGGGATAGAGGGACACGCAGAGAGAGAGAGAGAGAGAGAGAACTGTTGGTGAGCAGGCGAAAGGGGCGTGTTAACGCCCACAACAAGTTTTTTACACTAATTGCTGACCGCAGAGAGGCCTGCGGCCAACGTGAACCACATCCAAGTTCCGTTGTTAAGAACAATTGCATTTGGACGTTGTTTTGCTTTGAATGGCGTTTAAGCCAAATGTGTGGTCGTTATATGTTGTATTGAATTTGCCTGAGTTCACAATTGCTCAATTGCATTTTGCCTTTTGCGCAGTGCAATTGCCGTGAAGCGGCTTGATAACCCCGGCGAACAGTTCGTTTGGAGTCAGCCAAAAGGGGGGAGCCGTGTCGATGCAACTGCAAAGTCAGCGATAAGCCAACTTGCATCACACCATTTGTGACGTCAGCGACGATCACAAATATTTGTGAACAACACAATTAACTGATTGAACATCTAAGTGCTCGAGCTGAAGCAGAAACAATATTGCAAAGTTTCCTTTATTATGCAATTCTATTAGGTGTTGGTCTATAAATGTTGGAGTATATATAATATATAATATCACATCACAAATTGATTTCAGTAGTCTTAATACGTACATATACATACATAAACAATGCTACGTAATGCTGAAATCTAGCTAAGATTAGTAGAGTTCTTAACATCAAACTTCAACTCATATTTTGTGTGAATTTGAATTTCTTTTTATACCCTGAACCCATTGGAAATGGGAAATCAGGGTATAATGGTTTTGTTAAAAGTATGTAACAGGCAGAAGGAGGCGTGGCAGACCCCACAAAGTATATATATTCTTGATCAGGGCAACGAGCTGAGTCGATTGGGCTCTGCCCGTCTGTCTGTCTGTCCGTCCGTATGTATGAACACGTCGATCTCAGAA